AGTGAACCAGTGGGTGGAAGACCGACCTCTCTCTCTGTCTCTACCTCTCTCTGTAACTCTTTCAAATAAATAAAATAAATCTTAAAAAAATTGTTTTAGTACAAATAATAATTTTTTAATGTTTGTTTATTTATTTGAAAGGTAGAGTCACAGAGAGGCAGAGGCAGAGAGAGAGGTCTTCCATCTGCTGGTTTACTACCCAATTAGTATTTTCATTTCCACCTCTCTGAAGTCCTCACATCTCAAAAGGACAGCACTTGTGCATACACAGTGAGCTTTATACTTTGGGGAATTATACATAATCACAGTAAAACTACTTAAACGCCCAACAGAGGGCCTGGCACGCTGTGGAATTCTAGGCAGCCTCGAGGAATGACGACACAGACAAGCAGTTAGCACGGATATTTCCAGAACACATTGGAAAAAGCACATGATAGAACCGCATTCATGGTCGACCGCATTTGCATAAATCTCTATACGTGGTGTTTGCAGATACACTAGTACGTGTGAGACACAGAAGAAAAAGGTAGAAACAGAGTTGACAGAATTCGTGAAGACGACCAAGATGCTCACAGTGGCCACGCCCAGATGGCAGGGGCTTACATGATTCCTGCCTGTATGTGTGTACACTGATACTACTCCACACGTTACAGAAGGTTTGTGAGAACGTACAATGCCAAGAGTAAGCTCTGATGTGAGCTACAAACTTTGGGTAACCGCAAGGCATCAGTACAGGTTCACGGGTTACACAGCACCGCCCCTCTGATGCAGGGTGCTGAGTAGGCTGTGCGTGGCAGGGCAGCAACCACAAGGAACTTACTGTGGTCTGAGAATGTCTTCCAAAAGTAAGCCCTGGGGCCGGCGCTGTGGCACAGTAGGCTAAGCTTCAACTGCAGCGCCAGCACCCAATATGGGCACCAGTTCATGTCCTGGTTGCTCCACCTCCAATCCAGCTCTCCACTAACTGCCTGAAAAAGCAATAGAAGATGGCCCAAGTGCCTGGGTCCCTGCACCTGCATGGGAGACCTGGAAGAGGCTCCTGGCTCCTGGCTTCAGATCTGCCCCGCTCTGGCAGTTGTGACCATTTGGGAGGTGAACCAGCAGATGGAAGACCTTTCTCTCTGTCTCTCCCTCTGTCTATAACTCTACCTTTCAAATAAATAAATAAATCTTTAAATGGAAAAAAAAAAAGCAAGCGCTGGAATCTAGTCCTCAGCTCACCAAAGTGGCAAGACAGGGCCTATCGGGAGGCGTTTAGGTCCTGGGGCCGCCGTTCTCGTGGACGGATGAGAATCAGCTGCAAGAATCAGCTCCTGCGACCTCTCGCTCTGACTCCTGTGCTGCGTTCTGACACAGCCGGAAGGCCCTCGCTAGGCGGGCCGCTCAGACTTGCACCTCTTAGCCTCCAGAACCGGAAGCCAATTAAAGTCCTACTGGTTACACATCACCCAGTCTGTGGTACTTGTTATAGCAGCACAAAACAGATGAAAACAGAGGGCCTGCACTGTGGCACAGCGGGGTAAGCCTCCCACTGCGATGCCAGTGTCCCATATTGGAGTGCTGGTTTGAGTCCTGGCTGCTACACTTCTGAGCCGGCTCCCTGCTGATGCACCTGGGAAAGTAGTGGATGATGGCTCCATTATTGGTGTTCCTGCACCCATTTGGGAGACCGTGATGGAGTTTCAGGCTCTTGGCTTCAGCCTGGCCCAGCATGGGTTGTTGCAGCCATTTGAGAAGTGAACCAGCAGATGGAAGACCATTATCTCTACCTACCAACCCCACCACTCTGCCTTTCAAATAAATAAAACACTAAATCTTTAAAAAAATAACATAAACAGGAATTATCTAGACTTTCTGGTCGCTTTTGCTGTGAACCAAAAACTTCTGTAAAAAAACAGTCATTAGGGCCAGTGTTGTAGCATAGCAGGTAAAGCTGCCACCTGCGGTGCTGGCATCCCATATGGGCACTGGTTAGTGTCCCGGCTGCTCCACTTCCTATCCAGCTCCCTGCTAACAGCCTGGGAAAAGCAGCAAAGGATGGCCCAAGTGTCTGGGCTCCTGCCATCCACGAGGGAAACCCAAGTGAAGCTCCTGGCTTCAGCCTGGCCGGGACCACTGTGGCCATCTGGGGAGTGAACCAGTAGACAGAAGATCTCTTCCTCTCCCCCGCCCTTTCTTTCCCCCTCCCTCTCTCCCCCCTCCCCCTCCCTCTCTCTATCCCTCTCTAAATATAACTCTGACTTTTTAAATAAATAAATGTCTTTTTTAAAAAGTAAGAATAAATAAATAAAAATATAACAGTAAAACAAAATACTGCAGTTTCTGATAGCCAGCAGTCCCCTGCCAGAAGCAGGTCAGGGAAACTCTGCTGTTTCTCTCCTGTTGGTTTTGACTTAATAGACTGTTTTCAGTGAAAGTTTAGAAAACTAGAGACTGGGTCAGATAATCAAGGCCTCCAGAAAAGCAATTTAACACTTTGTCTCAGATCAGCCTCCAATGGAGTTCTTGGGGTGTTAGACCAAGGGCTAAAAGATAAGCAGGTCTTAAGGGGCTTTGAAGACAACAGATAAGATTCTGATGAGAACCATTTCTACTACCTTAATAAGCAGAATGCTGATGCCAGTCTGAGAAAAAGACCAGGGGTGGAATGGGTTAATGATACTAAATGCTACCTTGATTTTCATCTTCTTTATAAGAAACACGTACCTTACAATTCCTACATTCTGCCACACACACACAATGAGAGAGAGAGAGAGAGAGAGAGAGAGAGAGATTGATTGATTGATTTTAAGAGACAAAGACTTTAGGGGCCCTCACTGTGGCACAGCAGGTTAACACCCTGGCCTGAAGCACCAGCATCCCATAGGGGCGTCGATTCTAGTCCTGGCTGCTCCAATTCTGATCCAGCTCTCTGCTGTGGCCTGAGAAAGCAGTACAAGAAGAACCAAGTCCTTGGGCCCCTGCACCCATATGGGAGACCCAGAAGAAGCTCCTGGCTCCTGGCTCCGGATCCATGCGGCTCCAGCCATTGCAGCCATCTGGGGAGTGAACCAGCGGATGGAAGACCTCTCTCTTTGTCTCTACTTCTCTGTAACTCTTTCAAATAAAATAAAATAAATATTTTTTTTAAAAAAAGAGACAAAGACCATAAAGGCTTCTATACCACATATTCCCGTTGTGATCAGAACTACCTGAAAGAGATACAGATTCCTTCCTGACTGCAGGAAGAATCAACCTTGACAACAACGAAGCCTTTAAGCCCAACCAAAAAGACCTGCAACATCACAAGGACTTGCAAACTCTAGTGTGTGTGTGCATCTGTCTGTGTATGTGTCTGTGTGTGTGTCTGTGTATGTGTCTGTGTGTCTGTGTGTGTCTATGTGTCTGTCTGTGTGTGTGTGTGCTAGAAGTAGCTTTAACAATGGGATGTTAATAAGTTTACAGTGGAAAATGGAACCCCATGTCATGGTTCCAAATTACAATTTTTCACCAAGCTATTATCAAGTCATACTATGCAGGGGCTTCAACGTGAACAAAGCTTAATTCACCAAAGGCACCATCAATAATTTCCATGGTATGCCCAACAAAGCCCAATCACTATGCTGGAGACCCAGACCCACGGTGAGTTCACTGACGTTGACTTCACCAGGACTGGACGAACTCGGCAGAGCCCATCACTTCTCTTGGGAAACACAAAACTGAAAATGCAGTTTATTTCGGCCATGATTTTGCGGTCACAACACTTCTAATGACGCAGGCATTGTCTTTAGTAATTTGTATCACCTTTCCCTACAAACACAGAGCTCTTTCGCCTCACAAGTAGTTAAATGACATAATGCAATGGTCCTCCTGGTAAACCCCTGTTTTCTAAAGCACCCTGGCTTGACAGGATAGATTCACAGAAACAGAGAACCTCAATTACTAGGAGAAGTTCCGATTTTTCAAGTTAAGAAACACAAGTTTTGGCACTGAGAAAAACAGCAACATGGGCTCCTATGTACACGCGCTCCAGATCTCCCGGACGGAGAGAACCTACGCACTGCCAGCCGCATTTGATTTTTGGGTTTTTACAGGCTAACGTGTGAAGGGCAGATGTGATTTCACTGAAGGTCCCCTCCTAAGAACACGCCTCCTCTAAGGAGTCGCACCAGGAGTTCCTCTGGGACACAGTGAGCTTCCAGAAGGCACGGGCCTGACCCAACACGGACACTGATTTCCCAGGCAACAACCCCGGGAACAACACACAGGTTATTTTCCCAACTACCCCAATGAGACATCATTATCCTCATTTTTTAAATTAAAAATTTCACAACCCAGAGGTAATGTGGACCCTGCCCACGTCATGGAGCCGGAGGCAGGAGGGTAACCAAGGCCATGAGATGAAAACGTTCCTAACAGGCACACAGCCGGCCAGAGCCACGGACTGCAGGCTGCACCGGAACCCCTCTCAAGTGGGGCCCAGGGGAGCTCACCTCAGACCTCGACTCCTCCTGCGCGGAGGCGGCTCACGCCCTGGCCCGTCCTCCAGGACAGCTGGGAGAACGTGCAGTCCACAGAATGAGAAACCTCTCAAAAACTCAAAGCTCCGCAGAAGTGTGCATGTGCTAAATGCACCCAACTCCGGCTACTCCAGACACGGAAACTGCGCTCCACAGCACGGGGAAGACGCTACGGGGCGTGTGCAGCCGCCTCGTGGGGTCTTTTCCGGGGAGAATCCGGGCATCCAGGTCTCGGCTGCAGAGAGAAGCAGCACGGACAAGGCTGTGGAAACACGGCCCTGCCGCTCACTGTGGGGGCAGTGAGGCAGTCTGAGAACACAGAGCGCCCTGCATGCGAGTCCGCGTCCAGGGAAACACTTTCTTCAGTAAAAAGACCCCGACTACAAAGAACATATGGAAACGCTGGCTTGATTTCAAAATTCAAACCCTGAGGGAACAAGATAATGATTTCTTTAAAATATACAGAACTCTGATACGCAAAGAACAAGAATCTGTTCTTACCTCCCACATGTATACATTATTCTTAACCTGAGATCTTTTTTTCTTATCACCAACAAATGGCCCAAACTTTTTGCCTTTTAAAATTGGTTTAGTGGCCCAGACACCTAGAAAATAAAACCAACATTTTAGTGTGTTGTGCTTACTTGAAAGGTTGAAAGCATTAAAATCAGCTCAGTTTCACAAAATAGTTGACGAGGCCAGACAAGATGATGTTAAATCAACCGAGATCAGGCTACATCAAAGCAAGTTCTTAATGGGAACTTTCATTTTTCTTCTTCATACTTTTCTGTATTTTCCAGATTGTCTATAAAGAACCTGTACCATTCTGTGACTGGGGAAGAATGTTTTATTTTTGCTTTTAAGTTTACATGTAAAACCACCTACACTGTGCAATCACAAATATTTGAAGAACACATAGTTGAAGAGGAAAAAAAATCGGAATGAAGAGAAACTACAAACAATCTTTAAGCTCTTCCTTCCACTTTTCTGGAGATTTCAAATTGCCTCCAGTGAACATGAGTTATTTTTATAGAGAATTAGGACTACAGTTTTGTGAATAAACATTTCTGAATTTCATTGGCTCCAAGTAGAAAGCCCTTCTCGCTGTAGCTAAGCTTCCTGACAACCTCCAGAGGCTGAAACTACCAAAGGATAAGCCCATCCCTGGCGTTCTTAGGACTGCTTCTACTTCTTGTGCACTGACCATAAAGCAAGCCGGCAAGATGACGAAGCCACCAGGAACGGGTCAGGCTCCAGCCCTGGAGTCAAGGGAACTGGCACACACGGTCAGTTTGGACAGTGTCCCTCTCCTGGCCTCCGGTTCCTCATGAATAGACTGGGAGTGGAGGCTGGGCCAGTCTTGTGTAGCTTTCTGGAAGCCTGCTATGAATTGCATTTGATTATAGCACTAACAAATCAATTTAGGGGAGCTAGGAAATCAATGACTTTCTTTCATTTGAATGATATAAACAAACAGATTAAGCCAAAGAGAATTAGGAAAAGCAATTACTAAAAATTTATCCACATAGATATATATATATAAACTGGACTATCAGAAAAACATCTGAAAAAAGAAACAGAATATAAACATAAGATAGTCCAAGCCTGTACGTGAACCACATTTTTATAATTTATAGCCTCAGCCTTCTGTTGAAAGATGAGGCCACAAAAAACAAGACCAGGCACTCACAAGCTTGGCTTGCATTCTGCGAAAACCCAGCCCAAAGCACCTGGAGACCCTCAGGTTGTGTCACTCATTCAAGCAACTACTAATGGACCACAAGGACTCAGGTACTGCAGATCTAAAGAAGAACGAAGGCACTCCCAGCCAACGACAGGCACAGATGTGAGAACAAGTACAAAACAAGGAAATAACCGGATTAACATAATCAGAGCAGGCCGGTGGGGGAAGGCACCCTCTGGTGAGTGCTGAAGGTGGGTGTGTGTGTGTGCACACGTGCAAGCGTGCACACCTGGTTTTACTTTTACAATCAACTGCACAGTCTTCCGGTCAAGGGTCCATCTGCTGCCTCGCAGGCCCCCCAGGGAGCCTCAGGGCCACCTGCTCTTTACTGCCCGCAGTGCTCACCGATCCGGCTCTTGTCCACAGCAGACGGGCAGAGCCTCACTTCCTCGGGAAGTCCTCGCAGCACGTGTTCGGGCACCTCGGCCAGGGACTCTGCGGCTGCCACAGGCTCGGCAGTGTTCTGCAAGGCAGGAAACAGGCGATCAGAGCAGAAGGAAGAAAGCTCAAGTCGTGTTTTGTTTTTTTTCTGGTCCGATAAGCAAACATGCAAAACATGTAACTGAAACCGGAAGCTGGCAGATCAGACCCAAAAGGTGACGGCAAGCACGCGCGAGGCATTCTGACGCTAGTTTATGAGACTCCAAAGGAAACGGCTGCTACCTCGGAGCCCGTCTGTGTTTATCTGTTTGTCCTAGCCACCTGCAGCCACTTGCAAACGATGCACACCCCAGCACCACACTGCTTCCAGCCCTAAAAGATCTGGCAGCCAAGGACAGCTCAAGCCTGCTTTTAAAATCAAAGGCTGCGTTCCCTGCTTCAAAATGCTCGAAAATGGAAATCAACATTGTGCACTCAAATGAAAATGTCCAGCACATACTGCAGAGGCCACGCTGCCTATCTGACCCTGCCCAGCCCAAACACCCATCCACCAACCACTCCCAGCTTGACTGGGGCTGGAGCATTCCATCCAAACACACACCACATCTTACGGTGGTAGAGGTGCGACCTCCCCAGAAAACAGAAATTCAGCAGTGCACGGTCACAACGATGGCACAAAGCAGCCAAGACAGGAAGAACATCACACGATCCCTGATCGAGACGTAGGCTGGAACTCATCATAATCTCAACACGCAAGATTACTATTAGATAAGGACGCAGGACGGAAAAGGCGACGGCCAATCAGAGGCAACTCTCAAGTCAAAGGAGAACCACCGAGTGTCTGCTACCTGGTCCCACGTCTCTGGGGACGATGCTGGAACCGCCCCAGCTGACGCGTCGGTTACAGCACCTCTGAGAATGCCGGCCTGTGTTCAGTTCACTGCAAACGGACACAATTCCCAAGGACTTTCAAAGGAACCAATGTAAGCAAAAAGCAAACTTTAAGCTAAAGATTAATTTTTTGCACAATGAAGCTCTTGTGGTTTTTAAGAATGTCATGTGCCAAGACAGGAATACCATCCAAATTTGTGTACTCCCAGCATTTCAATTTTTTTTTTTTTTAAATATCAATAGGCTGCTTCAAGAGAAAGGAACACCACAGTGGTTGCCAAGGTCTCGTCTCTGGCCCGCTTCCAGACAACATCCCTCAGACACCTGCCGAAACAGGAGGATAAATTCGCTCCAGAAAACAGCTTTAGGAAGCTCTGAATTAGCTATAGTGCAAATAAATTTAACACAGATATTTCTACTTCTAAATATAACCCATTCTAGAAAATTTTAACCTGCAAGCTGGATTTTTGGAAATATAAATTTTTTCTAAATTTGGTACATGATGATTATTTTGTAGCTCTCACCCATTAGGCAACAGTCAGGAGTACCAGCAGAGCCAGGAGTCCTGTCAGCGCCATCAGGGTTACACTTTCTGGGTTGTGACCCAGGGCCAAAGCTCGGCACCACTTACCACCGCAGGAGCAGCCCGCTGGGAAAACAGCGTCTGCTGACCTACACTGGCACTTCCGGGCAGCGGCACACCGACGGCTGCTCAGCACGAGCGCTGTGCTGCCCACCTTACCTGCTTGGTCAAGTTACCCCAAGCAGCCCGAGAGGAAGGGAGTCAGGGATTCCCCTCTAAACCTCGCCACACATACACAGACACAGGAGGAAACCAAGCCTTGGGGAAGGGGCCCAAGTGGTTCACAGCCTGCATCTGAATCTCTGTCTGACTTGGGGTCCCCACCTGGCATCACAGGAGCACCACCTGAGAACAGCCTCCGCCTAAAACCTACAGACCCACGGCCAGGTCAGCCACTCCCACAGGAAATGTCTCACTCGAGACCACTGTGTTAGAACCTCTCGAACAGGGGCTGGCACTGTGATGCAGCGGGTTAACGCCCTGGCCTGGAGCGCCGGCATCTCATATGGGCGCCAGTTCTAGTCCCAGATGCTCCACTTCCAGTCTGGCTCTCTGCTTTGGCCTGGGAAAGCAGTACAGGTTGGCCCAGGTCCTTGGGCCCCTGCACCCATGTGGGAGACCCAGAAGAAGCTCCTGGCTCCTGGCTTCGGATTGGCACAACTTCAGCTGTTGCGGCCAATTGGGGAGTGAACCAGCGGATGGAAGACCTCTCTCTCTCTCTGCCTCTCCTCTTCTGCATAACTCGACTTTCAAATAAATAAATAAATCTTAAAAAAAAAAAAAACTCTAGAACACCTGTGAGTATCAAGAACCACAGCACAGCAGCCAGGTGCAAAGGAACTCGGACGATCCCACTGCCCGTGGTCACCCGGACGGTCCCACTGCCCGTGGTCACCCGGATGATCCCAGCATGACTGTGGATGGGAGCCCCTCACCGGGAGAGGACACTTTGTTAGTGATCTCAGAATCCTCACTCCGGTGGGACTGAGCTCACACAGGAAGCCCTCACTCACAGCACCCCACTCCAGTCTCGGGCCAGCCCAGCCCTCCCTTCCACCTCCAGTGAGTGCAGTTTCTGCAGCAGCGGCTCTGGCTGCAAACAGCAGGGACACTCTTAGAAAGTCAGTGATTGATACTGACGCCATAAACAAGAGTGTCAATTTGTTAAGTCAACAACAGGAGTCACTGCGCACTCACTCCTCATGTAGGATCTCTGTCCTTAATGTGTTGTACAATGTGAATTAATGCTATAACTAGTACTCAAACAGTATTTTACACTCTGTGTTTCGGTGTGGATGCAAACTGTTGAAATGTTTACTTAATTTATACTGAATTGATCTTCTGTATATAAAGATAATTGAAAATGAATCTTGATGCAAATGGAATGGGAGAGGGAGTGGGAGATGGGAGGGTTGCGGGTGAGGGAAGATATGGGGGGGAAGCCATTATAATCCATAAACTGTACTTTGGAAATTTATATTTATTAAATAAAAATTTTTAAAAAAGTCAGTGACTGAAGAACTGGAAGGCACAGACTTGTGGCATGGCCTGCACTCTCCCCTTCCTGTTTTCCCTTCATGGTTCTTATCACGGCCATTAATAACTGTGTAATTATGTGCTGAGTGTGTGTCTCCCCTGCTAGACCGGAGAGAAGACAGATGGTGTCTGTCCAGTCCAGTGTTGCGTTCCCAGCGCTGGGCAGTGGACCTCAAATGTCTGTTGTCACTTAAATACTTGACTGAGTGTGTGATTCTTGGACGCTAACTGAAACCTTTCTTTGGAAAAAGGAGAGAAAGAAAAGAGCAGGGTCACCTCTCAGAAGCACTTTCTCCACATGCGCCCGGGCACTGAGGCAGGGACTGGGGTGAACACAGGCGTCCCTCGGCATCCAGGGGCACAGGTTCCAGGACCCCTGCAGACCCCAGACTCCGAGGAGCTCCCATCTCTCACGGGACACGGCCCACACTTTAAGTCACCTCTACAGTACTGACAACACCTAATCAATGCAAATGCTACGTCAGCAGTTGTTGGGGTATTGTTTAGGAAACAACCGTGTTGGGAACCAAGATAAAATCCAGGCAGAGCCCGCATGTAACCACTAAGCCAGCAGGGTCTCCACTCCCAGTCCGCAAGCGGAGGTCCCTTTCAGGAATGCAAAGTCAGAGCTACTGTGAAAACAACACTAAGATGTCACCGGCCTTTTCCCCTTGGCTTCCTGAGGGCTCTGCTCTGTGATGATGTCATCATCCTGCCAGCTACTGAAATACATCGCCATTTAATTTTCTGATTCTGCAGTTTCTGAGTTGTGAGTAAGGCCTGTAGTCTGACACTGCTGCAATCGATGTGCGAGACCCAGGTGAGACGCCATCCCTGGGGAAGGCAGAGCGACGAGGACACAGGACTGCGATTTTTCCAACTTCCTGTGAAGCTATAATTATTCAGAATAAAAACTTTTAAAATGTTTCTAGATTTCTAACATGGCGAACAGCCCCAGGTTAACAAGCATCAACACAAAGCCAAGAGCCGCTAGGCCACGTGAGACGGCCCCACACCTTCCAGCACCTCTCAGCTCAGGGCGAGGAGCAGAGGCCGAGACTCAGAGCCCAGACCAACAGGAGTGCGGTGCTGAGACCGCAGGGCACACCCACGTCCCACCTGCCCCTCTTCCTGTGCCCCAAACACATGCGCAGGGTCTTTTTCACTGGAAAGGGTTTCACTGCTAACTTCTGAAAAAGAATAAGCAAAACACACCGGAATAAACTGGGCTAAGTTGGCAGTGGCTTCCGAGTACGGTATCCAAGGCAACCGCTTACCAGCAGGCCTCTGAGCTTCTGGTGGGGAGGAAAAGAAAAGCCAGAGAGAGACCCTCTTCTCTGCTTTTAAAGCCCAGGGTGCTGGGTCAACTCTGGCACGGTGGGTTGAGTTGCCACCTGCAACGCCGGCATCCCATATGAGCACCGTTTCAAGTGCTGGCTGCTCCGTTTCACACCCAGCTCCCTGCTCATGGCCTTGGAAAGAAGAAGATGACCTAAGTATTTGGGTTCCTGCCGCTCCTGTGGGAGACCCGCATGGAGATCTACTCTCCTGGCTTAGGCCTGCCCAGTCCTGTCTGTTACAGACATTGGGAGAGAAAATCATCAGATGGAATCTCAGAATCTCTCTCTTTCCATTGCAAATAAATAAACCCCGGGGCGCTGAGGTCCCAGGGCAGCAGAATCTGACAGGGGCCAACCAGCATTGTCATCCCGGGCCCGGCCCTATGATACCGGACCTGCCAGCAGCAGTGCCCACTGTGCTATGCCTACGCCGGGGCTCAGCCACAACACTGGTGGCAGCCTGCACCTGTGAGCCCTTGCTGGAAGGCTGGTTATCACCTCTCACTGTGAGCAAACACAAATGCCAGCTGCTGAGGGGCCTGGGGTACAGAGAGAGCAATGGCTGGAGGGCAGCCCAAGCTCAACTGGGAACCAAGTCCCTGCGTGAGATGCCTCATTGCAGAGCAGAGAATGAGGGAAGGGCCAAGAACTGAGTGCTCTATGGGGCCGAGAATGAGGGAAGGGCCAAGAACTGAGTGCTCTATGGGGCCGAGAATGAGGGAAGGGCCAAGA